CCTTCCTTCTCTAATTCTGTTTTTCAGGGATGATAGTGTTGCTTTTACTTCTTTTTGTTCAGTCTCCTGTTGTCCCCTATGTAGATCTTCTGGCTTTGTTCACTTCTGAAGATGGACTGTGAGTTGGCTTACCCTTTCATTATTTTTTGGAAGTATAAGCATATATATTGTCCTTCCCTTCTGCTCACAAATATTAGCAAAATATATGTATTACTCTGCATCTTCCTATTTTTCATATAACATAACCTGAAATATATAGTCTCATGATACTCCTTGTACATGTATCTGATTGCTAAGTCAGTCAATCTTCTGTTGCTGGAAATATGAGTTGTTTCCAGTCTGTTGCATTTACAAATAGTTACATTCCTTTGTGCATACCACATTCTGTAATTTCATGTGTATCTTCAATATAGAAGCAAGGGTGCTGGATATATGAAATATGCATATAATAAACATTGGATATTGTTGAATAATTCATTCTATGAGTTGCACAGTTTTGCATTTTCACAAGCATTGTGATGTTCTTGTTGCTCCAGGTTTGCCAATAGAGTATTTTAATACTTTTAGATTTCTGCCTATCTAATTGGTATGAACTGGTACGTCAATATAGTTTAACTTGCAGTTTCTTTTTTTTTTTGAGTTGGAGTCATGTCGCCCAGACTGGAGTGCAGTGGCCACTCCCAGCCACTGCAGCCTTGACCTGCTGGGCTCCAGTGATCCTTCCACCTCAGTCTTCCAAGTAGCTGGAACTACAGGTGCGTGATACCACACCCAGCTAATTTTTTGATTTACTGTAGAGATGAGGTCTCGCGAAGTTGCCCTGAGTCTCGAACCCGCGGGCTCAGGCAATCCACTCACCTCGGCCTCCCAAAGCACGGGATTACAGGCTGAGCCACCGAGCCTGGTTGTAGTTTCTTTATGAGTAAGATGGAGCTTTTTTTTTTTTTAAGATTTAAGGGTCATTCATTTATCTTTTCATATTAAATGTCTATTTATGCCTTTTGCCTATTTAGTATCAGACTCTAGGGTCATTTATATCTCTATTTTTAAGTATTTACATAGATTAGGAATATTAATCTTTCAATATTTCAAATATCTTTGACTTGCCATTTTCCTTTATTTATATTTTTATCCCACAAAAACGTATTAAGTCTTCCTAATATCCACTGGATTTTTGAGTTAGTTATTGATCCCCCCATTCCCACATTATCAAGAAGTTCAACCTCGTTTGCTTCTAATACAATTAAAATTTCTTTTTTGTTCTGTTTCTACATTTAGCTTTCTTGATTTATTGGGAATTTATACTGCTTTACACTTTTCCAGGAATTACTCTAATCTTACCCTTCCCCCCCAAAGGCAACACCAATTATCAAAATGCCTTTCTTTTTCAAAATGGTTCCAGCAGAATGGCTCCTGCAAAGAAAAGTGGTTGAGAAAAATGAAGGGCAGTTTTGTCATACATGAGACTTGAAATGAAATTATCAACATCAAAAATAAGAAGCATGGACCCCAGGCATTCGAGGACATCCAGAAATTCACCACGAGGAGGTGGGAGCACCAGCTATGTATACGGACACCAAACATAAGGCACTCTAGGCCAAAAAGAAAAAAGAAAAGAAATGAAACATACTTATCTGTAAATGAATGTCCAAAAGGAGTAATGTGAACAAAGACTTACCAAGCAACCTTTTGTTTTTTTTGAGTTGGGAGTCTCACTCTGTCACCCAGGCTGGAGTGCAGTGGCACACTCACAGCCACCCTAGTGTTGACCTCCTGGGCTCCAGCTATCCTTTCGTCTCAGCCTCCCAAGTAGCCAGAACTACAGGTGTGCACTACCATGCCAGGCTAATTTTTTATTTATTGTAGAGATGAGGTCTCGCCAAGTTGCCCGGGCTGGTCTCGAAGCCATGGGCTCAGCCAGTCCCCTTGCCTTGGCATCCCAATGCTGGGATTACAGGTTTGAGTCACCGAGCCTGGCCACCAAATAACTTCTATAGTAATTTTTCTCCATAACTTTGTCACCTTAAAAAAAATTTAAGCTAGGCATGGTGGCACATGCTTGTAAACCCAGCTACTTGAGAGCCTGAGGAAGACAGATCTCTTCAAGTCCAGGAGTTTGAGGCTGTGTGAGCCATGATAGTGCCACTGCAATCCAGTCTGGGTGAGAGTGAAACCCTGACTCAAGAAAAAAAAGCACGAATGGAAATGACTTATTTATTATAATTAAGTTACATAACAAAAATAGATGACAATAATTTGGAAGGGAACTACCTGTTAAAGAGTTTATGAATGTGCTAAGTATTGAAAGATACCAATAACTGCATTTAGAAAATATTGACTAGGTACTGAACTGATAAAGTATATTTTCATCATTCAAAATTATTCGGCTGGGTGCAGTGGCTCAAGTCTGTAATGCCAATACTTTGGGAGGCCGAGGCAAGAGGATTGCCTGAGCTCAGGGGTGCAAGACCAGCCTGGGCAACTTGGTGAGACCTTGTCTCTACAATAAATAAAAAAAATAAGCCAAATGTGGTAGCGCATCTGTAGTTCCAGCTACTTGGAAGGCTGAGGCAGAAGGATCGCCTGAGCCCAGTAGGTCCAGGCTACAGTGGGTGTGAGCATGCCACTGTACTCCAGGCTCAGCAACAGAGTGGGACTCCAACTCAAAAAAAAAAAAAAAAAAGAAGTATCAACCTTCCAGATGAGAGATTAAACAAGAAATATTAGGTTTATGTTAGTTTTTTCATATATCTTTATGAGGAAAATTTTTCTGGAATTTGCTGTTTAAGAGCTATCCCCATCTAATTTTTTTTTTTTTTTGAGTTGGAGTCTACTCTGTCACCCAGACTGGAGTGCAGTGGTGGCTCCCGGCCACCGCAGCCTTGACCTGCTGGGCTCCGGTGATCCTTCCGCCTCAGCCTTCTGAGTAGCCGGAATTACAGGCGCGTGCTACCACGCCTGGCTGATTTTTTGATTTATTGTAGAGATGAGGTCTTGCTGCCCAGGTGGGTCTCGAACCTGCAGGCTCAGGCAATCCACTCACCTCAGCCTCCCAAAGGCACGAGATTACAGGCTGAGCCACCGAGCCCAGCTCCCCATCTAACTTTATTATAATAATTATATTAGGCTTTCAGCATAAGCTGGTAAAATTCCCATGGAATTTTCTGTTCCTTCAGGATGTACCCTATATAATATCTAGTCTTCATGATTTTTTTTTTTTGATTCAGAGTCTCACTCTGTTGCCCAGGCTGGAGTGCAGTGACACGCTCACAGCCACCACAGGTTTGACTTGCTGGGTTCAGGCAATCCTTCTGCCTCAGTCTTCCATGTAGCTGAAAATACAGATGCGCACTACCATGCCCAGCTTATTTTTTTTTTTATTTATTGAAGATACGAGGTCTCACCAAGTTGCACAGGCTGGTCTCAAACCCCTGAGCTCAGGATATCCTCTTGCCTCGGCCTCCCAAAGTGCTGGGATTACAGGCTTGAGTCACTGAGCCCAGCCATCTTCATGATTTTTAATGATACTTTTTCTATTTTTTGAGCCTTTTTGTTTATTCTTGAATCTTAATCACATTTAATGTTTTACTAGAAAGTAAACCATATGTAAAAATACTGTGTAATGTAGTTTACATACTTATATTACCATTAAAATAATATTACCTAAACATATAGCTGTTTCCTATTTCTTCTTCCTTAACAGATATGGTAGAGGCATTGCCAAAGCCCAGTAAAAAACTTTTCTTCAAATAAACAGATTTTGGTAAAAACCTTCATTGCTTCTTATTCTATGATTTCTGCTTTATTTTCATTAAGCCTTTCCATCCATTCATCTGGGGCATTTATTCATATTCTAGTTTGTTGAGTAATCATTATTTAATTCAATAAATATTTGAGACTCTACAATACTATAGGCATTGTCCAAAGTGCTAAAGATACAGTGGTGACAAACAAATTGCCTTCAATCCTCTTGATTTTATACATATAGCAATTTCTACTGAGAACTGTTTTGGTTACATTCATAGAATTTAAAATACAGGGTCTCATTATCAGTGACATCTAAGCAGTCTGTAATTTCATTTTTTATTTGCTTTTTCAGCCAATAATTGTTTATATGTGGTGCCAAATTTCCAAGAGGCCAGAATTCATTTGGGTGTCCATTTGCTAATTTCTGAATTTTAACTCTGGTGAACAAATGGATTACATGACATTTAGCTTTAGAAATTCATTAGAGACAAGACCACTTCCAAATATCTTTTAACGATTGCTGAACACTTAACAATCCTACTTTCACTAAAACCACAAGACTTTATCATATAGATTTTTTTGATGCAGCGTATGAAATTAATATTCATTCAAGACTTTCTCACCTTCATTATACTTTACTGGTTTTTCTTCAGAATTAATGTTCTGCTGTTCAATAAGACACAAATAGAGATGATATTTTTTGTCATTATACTCTTAAAATCCTCCTCTCGTAGAAATGTTGTAATATCAAAACTAGTGACAATCATTAAGACATTTAAATCTCAAAACACGAAACCCTTATAATCTAATGAATAAGCAAACAGACACAGATTTAAGTTATTTTCCAAAGAATATAAATGTAGGATGTATTAAAACTAAGACATGTCAAATAAGTTGTATAATATAGTTCAAGGCTTTCTTGATTAATTACATCAATTCTGTGGAAATGCAACAAGATTTTGGTAGTGACAGAAGGTTTCCAACATGAATTATACATAAATTTTTTATGCAACTTAGTATCTCAAGAATATCTGGAGAATGACGCAAAAAGAACTCAAGCTATCATCTCATAAAATTTTACCCTGACATTCCATAATTGCTGACTAATCAGTAAATTCTTTCCTATATTAACTGCATTATCAATTATCTACTACTGCTGGATGTATTGGGTACCCTGTCAAAAGGCCTTCTAATATTACCAACAGTTGTGGTATTTCTCAAAAGAAAAAAAAGACATCAATTAATGATCCAAATAAAGTCTTTCCTACATTCTTTTTATATAATATTTCATAAGAGTGATATAAAGTGAGAGCTTGGAGAAAATGTGGTCTTAAAATCTTTGAATTCACAGGATTTCTCAAAAGTATAAATATTTTGGTGTTGAGCAAAGTTTGAGTCATGACTAAAGGTATTCTCATAGTCTGTCCATTCACAGAGATTCTCACCATTGTGAATTTTCTGATCAGTAAGACACGGGTGACTAAATATCTGGCCACTTTTCTTATATTCATAAGGTTCAGCATCAACATGAATTTTCCTATGCCGTGTAAGTTGTGAGCCCCAGATAAAGGATTTCCCACATTCTTGACACACATAAGGTTCCTCACCAGTATGCATTCTTTGATGTCGAGTGAGTTGTGAACCCCAGAGAAAGGCTTTTCCACATTCTTCACATTCATATGATCTCTTTCCAGTATGAATTTTCTGATGCCGATTAAGTTCTGATCCACGAAAAAAGGTCTTTCCACATTCTTTACATTCATAGTTTCTCTCACCAGTATGAATTTTCTGATGTCGATTAAACTCTGAGCCATGAAGAAAGGTCTTTCCACATTCCTTACATTCATAGAGTTTCCTCTCATTGTGAATTTTCTCATGTTGAGCAAGATATGAAGCCCAAAGAAAAGTCTTCCCACATTGCTTACATTCGTAAGGTTTCCTACCAGTATGAACTCGCTGATGTCGAGCAAGGTGTGAGCTCCAGATATAGGCTTTCCCACACTTCTCACATTCATAAGGTTTCCTACCAACATGAACATTCTGATGTTGAGCAAGATTTGAACCACGAATAAAAGCTTTTCCACATTCCTTACATTCATGAGATTTCTCACCAGTATGAATTCTCTGGTGTTGAGTTAGGTGTGAGTCGCGAGTAAAAGCTTTTCCACATTCCTTACATTCATAAGGTTTTTCACCAGTATGAATTCTCTGATGTTTAATAAGATGTGATCGCTGACTAAAGGCCTTTCTACATTCAATACATTCATAGGGCTTTTCACCAGTATGAATTCTTTGATGTCGAGTAAGGTCTGAGCCACAACTAAAGGCCTTCCCACATTCCTTACATTCATAAGATTTCTCACCAGTATGAATTCGCTTATGGACACTAAGTTGTGAATGAAATCTAAAGGCCTTCCCACATTCCTTACATTTAAAAGGTTTCTCACCTGTATGAATTCTTTTATGACCAGTAAGACTTGAACGTAAACTAAAAGCTTTCCCACATTCTTTACATTCATAGGTTTTCTTTACAGTGTGAACTGCCTGATGTTGAATAAGTTCTGAATCAGGAAGAAAGGTCTTCCCACATTCCTTATCTTCATGGAATTTCTCGCCTGTGTGAATTGACTGATGTTGAGTATGATCTGAGCCAGAACTAAAGGCTTTCCCACATTCTTTAAATTCATTCAGTTTCTCTCCTGTATTAGGTCTCTGATGCAAATTTAAAACTGTGTGCTGGTTGAAAGTTGGCATTTTTTCACAAGTGAGTATCACCTGCTTGAAACACTCTTCCTGATTTTCTTGTGGTGTTTGAAACTGAGCTTTGCCTTCCAAGTCATCTCTAAAACATAAACATTCAAGGTTGTGTTTTTTACACATTTTCATTATTTCCAATTGGGATGATTCTCTCTTTAAAATACCATTTTTTGGTGATAACTTCTTGCTCTCACACCTGGACTGTAAGTCTGAAAGATAAGAAAGTAAATACATATTGTTTGAAGTTTAAAAAGCAAGGAAACTTCTAAGATATATATAGAAAGTAAAATCTTGAAATAAAGCATACAAGAAGTGAATGACTAAAAATTTCCCAAATTCTGGGCAATATGAACAAAAGGACAAGAGATAAACAGAAATTTAAAAGAAATAATAAAAGTTGAATCAAATGATGAGGGATAGCACATTCACCTGAGGAGTTCAGTAAAAAATGATTGTTTGTCCAATAATAGTATTCCAACATCTCAGAAAATATCTATAAATTTGCAAGTACTATATAAGGCACTATAATGAATATCTTATATAATTCTGAGCTTAAAATAGGAATGTTGGGAAACAGCAGAGCATCAGTCTAATATGTGGCAATCAATCTGGTGCCAAAGTATAAAAGTACTAGGAACTCATTAACACAGGGTATGTTGCATTTAGGTTAAAGGCGGATACTTACAGATGATCATTCAGATTCTAAAAAATAGTTTAAAAAAATCTATCAAGGAAAAATAAGTGTGGCATGAACTAGGAATAAATAGGATTTTTCTGTGACTCATTATCTTTTATATGTATTTAGGATCTGGTGAAACTGTCATAAGATTGTGCTATAAATTTTCCTTGGGAGGACAGATTAAGTACTCTAGCAGTTACTGACGGAGTTGAAAGGCAGTTCAGTTACAAGGTATGAGTAGTAACGTACTGCAGGGGAAAGATGTCAAACCAGTTTCAGACTCCAGATATTTCCTAAAACTACTTTGAGATAATGGGAAAATTACCGAGCTCATCTGAGTTCTTATTTTTCCATGTGATAAAAAGGAATTTAAAAATACCTCTTTTCAGAGGTTTGAGAGGATTGGGAATAATAAGCTATTTCCATAAAGTATCTGGCACAGAGTAAACATTGAACAATTAGTAGATGATAATTATCATTAGAGATGAAAAACTAGAGATTATGGGGAACTAGACGACCCGGGGCTTGTGTTTCAATACACTGTACTCTCTTGGTTATCCTTCATTAATTGTAACCTCTCTTCTGCCACTTTCTCTTTGCTGTGGCCAGAAATTGTTTTCACCTATTATCGTGATTTTCACCTAAGCAGCAGGTCTTCTATCAGTATAGAGCCCTTTATGCAGATTCATGGCCAAGTTCCAATCATAAAAAAGAACTAAAAGTTTTTTAATAGATTATATACGCTTTGTTAACTCTTCTAAATCTAAAGTAAAATTAGAAAATCCATAAAAGTTGATTAAAAGAATGAAAATAAAATAAATGAAGGAAATAAGCAAGGAGAAACTCGGTAAAATAAGAAAAGTTGAAAAGGTAGTAGGTAGAAAAACAAGATAAAAAATATGTGTGTATATCCATAGAGAATGAAAAAATTTACAAATATCTAAATTAAAAAAAAAGAGAGATAGGAAGAACTGGATCCAAACCATAGATAAGAATGTTATTTACCTTTTTGTTACATGAGGGGAAAATGAGAATATAAAAATAGAGTGGTATTTGGAGTGAAGAGAAGGTTCTTTTGGAAAAGGTTTTGTCTGTTGGTCTCAGGTTTTATCAAAGGGTTTTGGCATTGAGAGTATATTTCACACCACTATTTCAGAGGTGCTGCTGACTCACTATAGCTGGACTGGCATCTGCAATAATGGTTGCTCTGTGCCTGTTAGCGCTCACTTACCTGGGCAAAGTCTTCTCGTCTCATTCCTCAAAATCTTCCAGGGCTCTTTCCCTTTCTCCAATAAAGAGAACACATTTGGCTGATATATGCAAAGTCCTGCCCAGAAGATAAGAAATCAGAAAGAATCACATGTAAAGATTCCAAAATTTGCATCTAGTCCCTTGATTATTAGGGAAGACAGATGATTACAGAAAGGGGAAGAAAAAGGTATAATGGATTGCTAAAAGATGAGGAAGATAAAAGCACACACTGATGATGTCTATAGCCAAATTTACAAAGCACAAACCATTTCCCTAGAAACAAAGGTCAGAAATTCCCCAAGGCATTTGAAAGACAATTAAAAAAACCCAAAAAAACCACACCACAGAAAGCAGGACTCTCCAAAGTGAAATCTGAATCTTACCCAGTGAGACCATGTTGCTGTAGTTCTCAAACATCACATCTTTGTACAAATCCCTCTGTTTCAGGTCCAGGCACTCCCACTCCTCCTGAGAGAAATCTATAGCCACATCCCTGAACATCATCAACTGCTGAAAGGACAAATGGTGAAATTAAAATAAATCCTTTATTATGTTTAACATTTATTATTATTTTGTTTTGTTTTTGAGACAAGGTCTTTCTCTCTCACCCAGGTTGGAGTGCAGTGGCATGATGACAGCTCACAGGAACCTCCATATCATGGGCTTAAGCAATCCTCCTGTCTCAGTCTCCCAAGTAGTTGGGACTACAGATATGTAGCACCATGCCCAGAAAACGTTTTATTTATTTTTTGTAGAGATGGGGCCTTGTTATGTTGCCAAAGCTGGTCTTGAACTCCTAGCCACAAGCAATCCTCCCATCTCAGCCTCCCAAAGTGTTGGGATTACAGGCCAAAAGAAAACTTAGATGGAAGGGGAAAAGATGAAAATGGGCACTTCAGGGAGTGGGACATACACTGAGCAAAAAAACCATAAGAGTTGGCTGTCTGTGGTTTTTGGGGAAATGACACGGGAATAAGTGTAACTAAAGCTAAGTGCCTACCTGTTCTTAAAAATTCCTGTTGTTCAGTTACCACATCCTTATGACTTTCAAATAACAAACACCAAGATATCAGGATGCCTGCCCAGAGTAACAGACATCATATATAAGCTCCAACAACTAAGTTCATGAACTTAGAAAAAGAGCTACATCCCTCACTGCTGAACATCACTACAGTCACGTTTGAAGTACTCCCCTTGGAAAGTGATGCACCTATGCCAGCATCTAGTCTACCTGTCAAAGCAATTTTGGAACTCTTTTTTCTGGAATGGCCATCAGAATTGTTGTCATATTACCCTTGATGTCCTGAATGTCATCAAGTGTCTTCCTTTCAATATTTCCTTTAGCTTCAGGTAAAGAAAAAAAGTCACTGGGGCCAGATCCAATGAGCAGGGAGGGTGTTCCCATACAGTTGTTTGTACAGAGCTGCCAACGTAAGCACATGGTGGCAAGTTTGTGAACTTAATTATCAGACCTCAACAAATAACAAGGACAGCTATGATGATCATTCCAGAAAAAGAGTTCTAAAACTGCTTTGATGGGTACACTAGGCACTGGCATTGGTGCATAGCTTCCCAAGTTGAGTACTTTGAGGGAGACCATAGTGATATTCAGCAATGAAGTATGTAGCATTTTTTCTAGGATGGATCATGAACCTCATTATCAGACCTCATTAAGTTTTTTTGTTTACATCATTGGGCAGCTATACTAGCCTGGAATAACTAACTTCAGATTTATTATGTGAGAAAAGTTGGGGGTTTTGTTGGCTGTAAGCAGTCTATATCAGAGCACAAACAGATCTGTGTACACAGTCTTTGGTCCAGCTGGACTATTGCTTTTTTTGTTTATGCTACTACTTTCAGTTGAACTTTCCATTAGTTTAAGTTGAGAGAATCAAAAGAGACACTTCCTAACTGAATACTATTTTTGTGGAAAATGTGTAGGATCTCTAGGCTCTCTGCTAAGCAGGTGACAATCACCAAATGTTTTGTTAATGATATTAATCTCTAATTAATTTCCTAGCAAGATCCCAGATCTCTGAGAACTCACCCTCTCATCATACCCTCTAAGTAAAAGCATCACAAAGTGTCACACAACAAAACGAATACCAACCAACTTGACTAACTGAAACATCGCATTCTATGGGGTAATTAAAAGACTTCATGTAGTATGTCCCTTTTAACCACTCAGTTCCATCTTGCTAAGTTATGCATTTGAAATGCATATTTCTATTGTTCCCTTTAAGGAAATGTAGTTTTCCTCCTCAAGTACTCTGCCAGACTAGGACACGGGAGATACAGAATGCCCAAATGGATAGTTTCAGGAATACTGGTTGGGGAAAAGAGGGACATCTACAGAAGGCAGTGGATTGTTTCACAACCATCACTTACAACCCTGAATAGTGACTCGGGCAAGCAGTTTAAGGGCAAGTCACATGATCGGATATAAATGGGTTGGAGAGAGGCAATTCCAACTCACATGGGCCATGACTTAAAAGTCCAAGAGTCAACCAGTCCTCTTCTGGATATTTTCTTGGTGAAGCAGCGTGCTGAGAAAGCAGAACAAGAGGGAAAGAATCATGAGAGGTGAGGCTTTTCTAAGAACTTTCAAATGGACAAACGGGAATGCGATTTTCTTCCTTAGAGGATAGTCAGAAGGAGTATGAAGAAATCCTGGCCCTATTCAAAACCAGAAACTCAACAAAAGCAGAATAGAGTTTCAGTTCAATTACTTATGCCAAAATCATGATATGAATTAGGATACGAAATAAGGTCATTCTGACTTGCCCTACATGTCCCTAAAACCATACAGATCCTATTAGACATTCCCAGGGTCATCCCCAAAGCAACAGAACCCTCCAATGTGGGAGCCCAGTGCATCTGCCCAGGTCCTGCTTGTGTATTTCCCATGACAGCGTCTTTCAACTCCTCCACATCTGACAAAGACTATCAACCTACTTACTCATTTTTTTCCAAAGCGTCCAAGAGGGGTCACACCACAAAACCAAAGGCAATTCTGAGGCCAGAAAAACCCTGACTAGATTAACCAGACATTCAGGGTGATGACTAGTAGACAGAACCTTAGCAGCCTTTACTGGAGCACAAACAGATCTGTGCACACAGTCTTTGGCCCAGCTGGACTATCAATTTCCATTAGCCTCCAGCCTTGGCACTTCTTTGTGCTTTTTTGCATCATCTTTGCAGCCTCTTTACTCAGCATAAAGCCTTGGAGAAAAGGAGAATAAGGTTCTGATAGTTTATTCCAACTCCAGGGTGACCAAAAATACTCATTGAGCAATATTATGCTTTGGTACTTTGTGTAATTTTTTTTAAATTTAGAAATATGAAAAAATTAAAATATATATAGATAGATTAGCATTCCCTCAGGTTAATCAATTCCCTCAGATTCATCAATGATTAATATCTCTATTGACCTTTATCCCTAGGTCACCTGTGAAAATCAGCTCCTAATATCATTTAAAAGATCAGAAACTTGGTCATTTTTTCAAATTCACTAATAATAAGAAGGAGCATAGGCTTGCTGAATGCAAAGCTTGTTCATTTTGAATATTGGCTATTACCACTAGATTTCAGGATTTCTCATTTTACTGAGTGAATGATGAGCTGAGCCTTTCTCTTACAGAAGCAGACTGTGCTCTCTGCCTTCTGTGATTTATTAACACTGAGCAGCAAGGTGATATCTTCATAAAAGAAATCCGAAGATAGAAAGAAGGCTGGGTAAATTGAGTCAGTTTTATAAAACAAATACTTTTATTAAAAATATATATAAAGTCTCTGAATCTTGCTCTATGCTTAGTTCAGGAGAACCCAATAAATATGTCGCAAGATCTCACAGTCAGAAAAGCAAAGACACTATTACAATAGAGTAGGAAATAAAAGTTATAATGGACACTGAAGGAGTAAGGAAGTTCAAAGGATTCCAAATCAAAACCAGTTTGTAAAGAAAATTTATCTAAAAGAAACAGAGCTTCAGCTGAGTCTTGAGAGGTTCACCACAGAAGAAAGGGTAAAAGGAGAGAGTAAGAGGAAAGGGTAAGAGGAGAGGGGAGGAAACAACATGTGCCAATCAATCTTTGTGAATTAAGAATATAGAGTGGGACGAAAGACCAGGGGCAGATGGGAGTATATAAGGCAGGAATAAGATTATGAAAAGCCTTAAGAAATAGCCCATAGAGTTTGGGCCTTACCTCAGAAGCAATGAGAAAGCATTCTGCAATTTTAATGTAAGGTTAAAAAATGTTTCTAATTAGAGATACAACAAACTTCATGTGAGAGGGTAGAGGAAAGATTGACATACTCAGCCTGAGGGGTTAATGAAAATTTCATGTAAAGCATGTAGTATGAATTGGGCCTAGGAGACAGAGAACTTCAGTGGCAGAAGACAACTTCAAGTGCTTTTTCCAAAAAGAGTGAAAAGCTGGAGAACCAACCGTGGACTAAAATATATTTTGTGTTTCAAAAGCAGAAAGAACTTGAAAGTGACTATTATATAGTTTCAAGAAAGAATGAGTTCTAGCTGGGCTCAGTGGCTCAGCCTGTAATCCCGTGCTTTGGGAGGCTGAGTGAGTGGATTGCCTGAGCCCGCGGATTCAAGACCCGCCTCGACAACTTGGCGAGACCTCATCTCTACAATAAATCAAAAAATCGGCCCGGCGTGGTAGCGCATGCCTGTAATTCCGGCTACTTGGAAGGCTGAGGCGGAAGGATAGCCAGAGCCCAGCAGGTCGAGGCTGCGGTGGCCGGGAGCGGCCACTGCCCTCCAGTCTGGGCGACAGAGTGAGATTCCAACTCAAAAAAAAAAGAACGAGTTCTAATCCTGACATTCTTCCTCATGGACATCATTTAGAGAGAAACAAGAAAATAAAAGGAAATCCCAATCACCAGGACACTGAGGAAATTGACAAGACTCCAAATTATTTGGAAATGTGGCCAAAAGCAAATGGAAGAACAAAGTCTGTTTGGAAGCCACAGTGATGCTGCAAAGACAAAAAGGAGAAATATTCCCTACAGTGAGGAGCAGGCCATCCCCTGAATGGTGGTTCTGTGAGCGCAGGAATTATATAAAAAGGGGATGGTAAAAGGAGACCTGGAGATGTCAAAGGGATTCAAACTGGCAAAACATGTTGGCTATACTTTTTTAAAAAAACAAAACAAAACAGTTTTATTGACATATGATCCACATACCATACAGTTAACCTACTTAAAGTGAACAACTCCATGGTTCTTATATTCATAGATATATGAATATAGTATATTCATAGATAAGTGCAACCATCACAAGCCAATTTTAGAATATTTTTATTACCTTAAAAAGAAACCCTGTAACCTTCAGCTATTACTTACTGGCCTCCCCACTCCTACACTTCCCTCGTCCTCAGCCTTAAGCAATGACTGCTCTACTTTTTGTCTTTATATAGTTCCCTATTCTGAACTTTTGTATGAATGGACTCATAGTATGTAGACCTGTGACTGGCTTCTTTCATTTAGCATAAGTTCTCAAGTTTCTTCCAAATTGTAATATGTATCAGTACTTCATTCTGTGCTATGGCTAAATAATATTCCTGCATATGAAGAGACCACAATTTGTTTATCCATTCCTCAATTAATGGACATCTGAGCTGTTTACATCTTTTGACTATTATTTTAAAAATGGTGCTACGAACATTCATGTACGAATTTTTGTTTGAATACCTGTTTTGTAGTTTTCAGAGTATAAGATTTTTAACTTCTTTTGTTAAGTTTATACCTAAGTATTTTATTCTTTTTGATGCTATTGGATTTTTGGATTGTTTACTGCAGGTATATACAAATATAACTGATTTTTATTTTTATATATTGATCTTATATTCTCAAGCTTTGTTGAACTTACTAGTCTGAATAATTTTTGGTTGATTCTTCAGGGCTTTCTATATAGAAGATAATGTCATCTGCAAATAGAGATGATTTCACTACTTTTTTTACTCTGTCACCCAGGCTATAGTGCAGTGGCATGCTGATGGTTACTGTAGCCTTCACCTGCTGGGCTCAGGTGGTCCTTCTCTCTCAGCCTCCCAAGTATAAGTAGCTGGAACTACAGACATGCACCACCACATTCAGCTAAATTTTTAAATTTACTGTAGAGATGAAATCTTGCCAAATTGCCCAAGCTAGTTTCAAACCCCTGAGCTCAGGTAATCCTTTCATCTCCGTCTCCCAAAGTGCTGAGATTGCAGGCATGAGCCACTGCACCTGCCAAGAGATGGTTTTACTACTATTTCAAGCTTTTCTTCAATGCCTTTTACTAATTTTTCTTGCTCAACTACCCTCATTAGAACCTCTGATACAATGTTGAACAAAAGTGGCATAAGCAGATATCCTTGTCTGGTTCCTGATCGCAGAGGGAAAGCATTCAATAATTCACCAATAAGTATGATGTTGGCTGTGAGTTTTTTCTAGATACCTTCTATCCAGATGAGAAAATTATTTTTTATTTCTAGTTTATAGAGTGTTTATTTTTCTTTTTTAATCATGAGGGTTACTGGCTTTTGTCAAATTCCTTATCTCTGTCTACTGAGATGATCTTGTGATTTTTGTTTCATTAATATGATTTGTTACATTAATTGATTTTTGTATGGTGAGCCTTGCATATCTAGGATATGTCCACTTAATCATGTTGTATAATTCATTTTATACTTCACTGAATTCAGTGTGTTAATACTTGGTTGAGGATTTGTGCACCCACAGTTTAATAAGATATGCTTTGTCTAGTTTAGTAACATTGTCTTCACAAAATGAGTTAGGGGCTTGCTATATTCTTTAATTACAGGAGAGAAGGCACTGGGTGAACTCAGAGCTTATACCAGGAGACCTCCAGAACTAGTTTAGGTTCTGAACGGCACAAAAGGCTTGGCTATTCAAAGGGGCCAAATTTCATAGACATTTTCTTCTATTGTATTAATAGAGGACGGACCACTTTAGAAGAGAAACTTAAAAATAACCCTTGCCCCATTCACCTTTTTCCACAGGAAAACACGTTCCACAATTACAATTATACCAGGAAAATGTATTACATTCCAAACAAATAAATTTAGAAATGCTGTGTCTAAAGATAGTTAAAAGTTTGAAAAGTGTGCCAAAATTCCCCTATGTACAAAAAAACTCACTAAAAAATCAGAGAAGATGAGAATTACGGCCCAACCTTCTAACATAAATAAAAAAATAATAGTTATGATGCAATCACAGCTCTAAAGCAAGACCACAGGCACAAATGTATGAGCTCAGGAAAGGGAAGAAAGTTACGAATAGACTATAGACGGGAGTTAATAGAATTTAAGAATTAAAGAAAAAATAAGCAAAACCACATCAGAAATGAAGAATAATTAGTTGGGCATGGTGGTGCACACCTGCAGTCTCAGCTACTTGAGGCTGGAGGATCACTTGATCCCAGGAGTTCAAGATGGAAGCCACATAGAGAGACCTCATCTCTAAGTAAATAATAAACTACAAGGAACATAGCATATGACAAACATCACAGAAAGTATAGTGCAGAACAAAACATACAGAAATTAGTGAACAGAGTAAAATGTAACAAAAAAAGGGACGAAAATTATTGAAATTAAAAAAAGATAAAAGAGAGATAAAAATGAAGAGAGATTCAATATGTAAATAAAGAGAGCATCTAAAGATAAAACCCAAATTATGGAAAGAGAACAATATCTAAAACTACACTTTTAATATCCAAGAAAAATTTCCCAAAATAAAGCATAAATAAACATAATGAAAATACACGACACATTGCAGGTGAAAATGATTCCAAATCATCAGTTCCAAAGCATTATTCAATAAAATTGTTAAACTAAAACTTGTGGTAAAAAATATCAGGTTACCCATTAAAAAAAAGAAAATTTGGTTGTGATTAAAGTTTTCCACTGCTAATTCAGTACCCCAGTGAGGCAACTCTTCTAATATACTATGGAAAAATAAATGAGGGAGTCAAAAACTTTATATCCAGTCAAGCTATTATTAGAGTATAAAGGATAAAAAGAGTGTTATGATGCATGAGCTCAGAGAATATTGTTCACATGAGCCCTTTGTGAAGAAACTACTAGAGGACATACCCCCACAAAAGAGAAAACTTTAGCAAAAGGATAGTAGTAAATACAAATCTAAATGAATATGTAAGATGGAGATTATGATAGCCAGCATCCTGGATGGCCCCCAAAGGTATCTTGTACTTGGTATTTACACCACATTGTCTTGCTGCCTCCTATACCAAATAGGGCTGACTTATGTGCCAATAAGATATTATGAAATGATGGAGTATGAGAATAGATAATAAAAAACATTGTGGCTTTCACCTTTTGCACTCTTGCTGTCTTTTTGAGAAAGAACAGATGACATGTCATAAGGACACTCAAACAGCCCTGTGGAGAGGTCTGCGTGGTGAGGAAATGAGGTCTATTGCCAATAGTCATGTGCAAATCATCTTGGAAGGTGATCTGTTAGCCTCAGTTATGTATCCAGGTGACTGTAACCCTGACCAAGAGTTTAGCTGCAACCTTATGGGACCCTGAGCCAGAAGCGCCCTGTAAAACCACTACTGAATTCCCAATCCACAAAAATTGTGTAAGATAATAAACATTTATTGCTGTTTTAGGATAATATGCTTTACAGCAGTAGATAACTAATACAGGGATAGATGTTAGAGAGTGAAAACCAGACTGGCTCACTGATTGCCGCATTTGTAATAACTAAGAGACAAAGGATGTCATTTAAAGCTGAAAATTCAAGGTAAAGAAATTTAGAAATATTTGAGAATATGAATATAAAGTCAAACAGAGCAAAAATGCCTACTACATTTCAATATACAAACAAAAAGTAGGAAATTAAAATTGGATTAAAAATTGACACATTTACAATCGGAACAGAAATTTAAATATTTATAAATACATCTAACTATATATGTGCAATATAGATATAAGGACTTTACATTGATTATTACAAATAATACAGAGAGAAATTACAGAAGACCCAAACAAATGAAGAAATTTATCACATTCATGGGATGAAAGACTGATTATTTTCAAGACGTCAGTTTCCCTCCAAAACAGTGGTATAGAGAGTAAAAGAATGGCAAAATCTACTACATCTAGATGAAAATACAGAATATCTTTATACCTTGGGGATAAGCAAGCATTTCTTAAATCAGATACAGAGAATACAAACCATAAGGGAAAAATAATAAATCAGACTACATTTTACAAAGTATTTTCTGTTTATCAGAAGAGAGTGAGTAAAAATGAAAATCACGGACTAGGAGATGATATCTGCAAGACACACAGCTGACGAAAGACTCACATCCAGACTATATAAAGAACTTCTAAGAATCAACAATGAAAAGACAAGACAAAGCTCCCACAAAACTGGGCTAAGGACTTGAACTGACACTTCCCAAAGGAAGATATCCAAATGGGCAGTAGACATTAAAACAAAGCTCTCAGCTTCATTAGTCATCAGTTAGAAACCACAATGCAATACCACTCCATATCTATCTACTACACTGGCCAAAATTTTACAGTCTGACAATATCATGTGTTAAGCAGATTTGCAATACTCTATGACCCACCAATTCCTTTTTGAAAAATATATCTGGCAGAAGTGTATACATATTAATACAAAAATGACAAGTGCAAGAATGTTGGTAACGTCATTATTCATGAGAGCCCAAAGATGGAACCAATCTAAATGTCTATCAACAATAAAATGGACAAATACAGTTGGTATATATTAATGCACTAGAATACTGTTTAACAGTGAGAACAAACAATTTCTAAACAGAAATATGGATGACTCTTGCAAACAATGTTGAACAAAAGCCAACAAAAAGTGTATATACTGTATAATTCTGCCTATATGTATGTTCAGAAACAGACAAAATTAATGTGTAGTGATTAATTTGGGGGCTCTACTGACTGAACAGAAGCAGGGACTTCTAGGGTTCAGGCAATGTCTTGATCTGGGTGTTTATTATATAGGTGTTCCACTTGTGGTAATTCGCTTATGCTATAAAATTTTGATTGTATTGATTGTTTGATCATGTTATCATGTATATGCTTATATGTATACATGATAAACTTCAATAAAAAGTTTAGTTATGGAGAAATCCAGCATATACAAGACAAATATAAACAAAAAAGTAAGCAGGGGCCATGATCTTGAGCAGGTAAAGCCTACAATTTACCATAAACATATAACAATTATGAGTATCTATGTATCAACTAATGAAGTAGGCAATTTTCATAAAGCAGGATTTACACATTATATAAGAAATAAAATTTCATTAACAATAGAGAATTTCAATACACCTCTCTCAAAGACAAATCAAGTGCAAGACAAATAAGTAACTAGACTGACTATATATTAGATCACAAAAATTTCATTAACTCCCAAAGTTAAAAAAATCACAATACAGCAATACTGGAAATTAAAACTGTACTCTCCATAAGGTTCCATCTGTCCCCTATTGTAATACTATAAGAAAATGATTAGCAGTAGTGGGAATCTGCCAGGGGAGAGGGGGCACACCTCATCAACGAAGGTACCTGCATAACGAACATGTGTATACCTAACCCTGAATTGTATCCCATATCTTTAAAATAGAAAATTAAAAACAAACAAACAAACAAAACAAAAACTGGAAATTATACTACAGATGATGAGGGGACCTATGTCTTCATTATCAGTAGACACTGAACTATTTTTATATCACAAGGATCAAGACTCCTCCATAGCACTGAGGCTAAGACACTACATCACTGTGTTAGTTTTCTATTGCTACTATAACAAATTACCACAAAAGTAGTGGCTTAAAATAATACAAACTTATTACCTTATAGCTAAGTAGAAGTTTGAGATGGATCTCATTAGACTGAAATTAAGGTGTTGGCAGGGCTGTGTTCCTTTTTGAAAACTCTAGGGGAGAATTTGTTTCCTTATGTTTTCCAGCTTCCAGAGGCCACCAACATTCCTTGGCAAAAGGCTCCTTTCTTCTATCTAGCCAGCAATGTTGCATCTCTCTGACCGTTCTGTGGTCACATCTCCTTCTGTAAAATCAGCCAGAAAAAAATTCACTGATTTTAAGGACCCAGGTGATTATATTGGGCCCTCTGGATAATCTCCACATTTCAAGTTTCTTAATTCCATCTGCAAAATTCCTTTGGCCATGTAAAGTAACATATTCCCAGGTTCTAGGGATTAAAAAGTGGACATCATTACAGGGCCATCATTCTGCTTACCTCAACCACTACTACCTCAACCACTACCTCAACCATCTTCTGAGAGATACTCAAGAAAACACCTTTCACTACCCCAAAATCATTTTCCAAAACTGTCTTGAATCCAACCTAAATAAGTGTCACTATCCCTTACATTTATATTTATAATAAGAGGCCCCAGATTTTCCTGTCACCTCTCTTTTAGACACTGTACTCTCCATAAGGTTCCATCAGTCCCCTTTTGTCCTTCTGCTCCAACTCCTGACACTTTCCCAGTATGCCTTCTGGAATTCATAATTAATTCGTTAACAACCAACTCCTCTTATCTTCAATTACTTTCTTGAACACCTCCTTTGCAATCTGAGTCTAACAGAAACCATGCTCTATCCAGAGGAATCCACTGTCCTCTAAATTCCTCCTCCCCCCCAACCCCCAGCCTCTTACCAATGGGACTGGAAATGGGGCAGATGGCCCCTTTGCTCCTCTTTACTTTCAGACCTTTCTTCCGCCCTTTTCCACACATTCTCTAGTTTTGAATTTTATGCCATTTGATTATACATAACTCACCACACTTCACTGTTGCTGGCATCTACCCAACACAAGCTATTTCCCCTTAGTCTTTGAAATTTTGAGCTCATGGTTCACTCTGCAGCCCTATTACCCTTAAAGAAAAGTTCTTGCAATTTTACTACACCCACACAGATGAGCCTGGCTTACACACCCTTGCCTTACACACCCTCTCATTGGCTAACTCCCAACAGCAAGTTGATGGGCTGTTATTCTCACCTACCTGCTGCTGCTCCACTTCTCTGCTCTCACTTACACAAAAATACTTGAAAGATGTTGTCTACACTGTCTCCTATTCCTCTCCCCTCAGTCTACGTTGCCCCCAATCCAATCCAGCTACTGGCTACCACTCTCCATACATTCATGCATGGCTACTTCTGTTACCAAATGCAAAGCTCAACTCTGTTTTTGGCCCCGCAGTTGCAGCTACCACCACGTTTACACACATGGTCACGCACACAGCGGCGCAATCATAATTACGCACACAGTCCCATTTAAACAGTCTGTTACAGTCACATAAAACTCCAGGCACCACCACGCACGTAAACACTCCCCCACACCGCCTTACGGCTCGTGTCGCAATCACCCTCACACCCTGCTCCTGTCAGTTTCACACACGCACCTACGGCTCCCATCATGCTCGCGGGCGCACACATCCACACACCCACAAGCACAGCACCCCACCACCTTGCCCTCTGCGATCCCTTGCAGCACAGCCACCGAGTCCAAAAACGTTAGCCCCTCAGTCCCCTCACTCCTGGCTTTGGCCCCTCCGGGATCATTCTGCTTCTGGGTCTTAGACTCACTCGCCAGACTGTGCAGTCCCCTCAACCCGCGGAACGTTACGCGAAGACTCGCGCGCCATCCCCCTACCGGAAGGAGCCGAGCGGTGACCGGAAGTCGCCGGGGTACGGCGGACTCTGGGAAACGTAGTCCGGAGCCTGGATAGCCTTTAACGGCTCGGAACCTCATGCTCTCAATTCACAGGCTCGGGCCTTGAACCTCAACCCCTCGTCTGCAAAGCCCGTCGTCCACACACTGTTCACACCTTTGGCCGAGAGCTCCAAAGAATTCAAAGCAGCGACTACAACGCTTCAACCGGGGCCTCCACTCGGCTCTTCCTCCACCAACCGGCGCCCAGCCTCGGGAACGGGGACGACAAGCCAATGCCGTTCTTTAGACGCGACGGCCCCTGGGAAATGTAGTTCAGAACCTGGAGAGCCGTGGAAATGCCTCTGTCGGGGCAGTTCTGGGCCTCTGACAGATGTGGTGTGTCCTGTAATACTGCCCAGCGAGCGGCGAGTCTGTACAGTTGGCCTGAGCTTTGGCCCGGCTGGGCGATTAGAATCCAAGCACCGGCCTGAGGAAGATAAGAAAAGGGTCTAATGGGCCACAACTCCGTGCCCGGCCCCACAGGGGTCCTTGGCTTGAGAATCTTTGAGAATGCCTCCTAATGCCTTATTCCTATTCTCCAACTACTCGCAACGTATTTGGTTTAAATTAATGTTCACGGTTACAGTGGTAGTATTTTGTACGTATTATTTATGCCATTGTTTTTGCTGAAGTCTATGCTTGCCAGCTTTTTCACTTGCTTCTTTTCCTACGTGTACATCATTTAGATTTATAGCTAAAATTTCTGACAGAGTAATTTTTTTCAGTATTATCAAACTCATCGAGTCATTAAAAGTATTTCTTCCTTAATTTTTTATTATGAAATATAAACTACTTTAAGAAAAGTGCATAAAATGTGTAAGTTCAGTATAACTCCATCCAAGTATAAGAGTAGAAATAGTACCTTGTTGGTACCTCAAGAAGAAATGCCCCCTCCATGTGATAATTTCTGATAACCAGCCCCAACCTTAGCCCCAACTGACCACTATTCTGACCTTTAGGATATTAATATCTTGACTTTTTAGTTGTTTTAATCTGTGTTTGAAATGTACATGAATGCAATCAAATTGTACAAATCTGTCTTGCTTAATTGTTAAACCCCTAACCAGATTAACTCAAAACACCACCCTAAAGGCCTTGCAGAAGGAAAGAGAATCTCATCAGGTCATTAAAATTATTTTCCTCAGTTATTACTGTGTTAGGAGACCCAAGATCAGCCCCTATTCCCCTAAGTTTTGATGATTCACTGGGAGACTGCCGGTGAAATGATACAAAGCAAAATCAGTAAAGAAAAAAGGCACATGGGGCAAAGTCCAGGAAAACCCAAATGCACACTTCCAAGGGTCCTTTCCCAGTGGATTAATATGGGACATTAATTCCCTCAGCAAAGGCTTGTGACAACACTTGTGAGATGCTGCCAACCAGGGACGTTCATTAGAGACTCAGTGCCCTTTTTTGTATTGAAGGCTGGCCAAATAGGCAGGCTGTGCCTGACTTCTAGAAGGAAAGCAGGTATTTAGCATAACCCATATTGTTTGCATAAATAGTTTAAGCATAGTGAGCCACTCTTATCAGTTAGATGATAGGAGCTCATCTGATATCTAAGTTCTAGATGCAAGTCAAGGACTAATCTCATAAGCAGGACTTTTTAGGGATAAGTAGTCTCAGGCCTGCTATGTAAACTCTTTTCTGTGCATCACTGTCCTAAACGAGATGTCTGGTTTTCAACTACAACATCAAATTATGAATAGGCAAGAAAAATCAAAACATGCCTAAGTCACAAAAGCAACAACACAGCCAGACTCAGATATGATCCAGATATTATAACTATTTAAAAAGGAAATTAAATAACTATAATTAATATTTTTAAAACTCTAATACATTGTTTCTCAACCAAGGGTGATCTTGTTCTCTGGAAGACATTTGACACTGTCTAGAGAAGTTTTTGGTTGTCACAACTGGAGAGGTGCAATTAGCATCTAGAGGATAGAGACCAGGGATGCTGCTAAATATATTACAAGTATAGGACAGCTCGGCACAACATATCAATAGCCCAAAATATCAATAGTGCTGAGACTGCGAAACCCTAAGGAATTAAGACAGAGTTATTGGTGAAGGGACAGAAAGACAGATTAATGGAGCAGTGTGAATTAAGACAGAGAGTTATTGGTGAAGGGACAGAAAGACAGATTAATGGAGCAGAGTCCAGAAAGAGACCCCCACAAATATAGCCATTTGATTTCTGACAGAAGATACAAAAGCAATTCAATGAAGAAAGGATGATCTTTTTAGCAAATAATATTGGAAACTGATCATCCATATGTAAAAACCTTGATTTAAACCTCCTAATTTGTACCAAAAAATCCATTAAATGTATTATAGGTCTAAATTTAAAACATAAAACTTTTTGAAGAAAACATAAGAGAAAAAAATCTTCATGATCTATGGTTAGATGAAATGTTTTTAGACATGACACCAAAAGTATAATCCATGAAAGAACAAACTGATATATTGGACTTCATAGAAAATTAAAACTTCTGCTATTCAGAGAACACTGTTAAGAAAAAAGACAAGGCACAGATTGGGTGAGAATATTTGCAAATCACATATCAGACCAAGGATTTGTATCCAGAATATATAGAGCAACTTCAAAACTCATCAAGAAAACAACCTCAATTTTAAAATGTGCAAAGAGTTTAAATGGAAATCAAGTCAAAAGATGGACATTGGGAAAAAATATAGGACATGTGTAAAGCAATAATTTTCATCATGTATCAAGTGCTCATTATATTAATGAAACATGACTAATATTTCTAGAACTTAATAAATTTAGTAGTAAAACAAAGGAAACAGTTCATGGAAAAATACTAGTTTATAAGTATTTTAAAAAGGCATTCACTTTCACATCTAATGAAATAGTCGAATAATATAGTAAAAATGAAACTATAGGGGTACAATGGAGTAGCTTGTGGAAAACCAGTAATCCTGCATGGAACTAAAAAAAAAATAATATAAAAAATCTTTTCTACTTTAGTATTTTTTTCTATATGAAAAAGACATTAGGGACTGGGCACGGCAGTTCAGTCTATAATCCCAGCACTTTGAGAGGCCGAAATGAGAGGATTGCCTGAGCCCAGGGGTTTGAGACCAGCCTTGTCAACTTGGCAATACCTCGTCTCTACAATAAATCACACAAAAAAACTAGCTGGGCATTGTGGCATGCGTCGTAGTTCCAGCTACTTGAAAGGCTGAGGCAGAAGGATTGCCTAAACTCAGCAGGTTGAGGCTGCGGTGGCCGTGAGCATGCCACTGCACTCCAGCCTGAGCAACAAAAGTGTGACTCCAACTCAAAAAAAAAAAAAAAAAAAGAAAAAGAAAAGGACATTAAGGAGCTTTTGAGACAACAAAAAACATAGTAGTCAACATTCTAGATTGTAGGTAATTAATGTCATTCCTCGGTCATATTTTTCCCGGATTATTTGCCAATTCTTGGCAAAGGGTAAAAGGATAAGAAACCAGACTTTTGTGACTTTAGTTTTTCTGGACTTAAAAACACAAAATTGGAGAACCAGTGGGCCAACATCCTTGTGAGAAAAGAAGGACAGAGACCTGAACTCGACATAAGACAGTTACCCATTTCTGAAACGTAATGGGTCAAGAGACTAAGAAGCGTAAGCAGAATGCTTCCCAAAAAAAGCAGAATAGAGTTTTGGGTAGTCTGGCTGGGTTGAGGTACAAAGATTTGAATTCAGACCCTGATAGGGGGGAGGAGCCTTGGTGAGCATACCAGATTCTCATATTGAAACCCTGAAGAGCTATGCCCACAGAGCAAGAGCCAAACCAGAAGCAGAATGAATCTCAAAAAAACTGTAATGAAGCTTTGACTCAGCTCAATCATTGATTAAATGAAGGTGATCAGCCCTTACTTTATTAAAAAAGTAAAAGATTACAGAAAATGTAAAACAAGTTAAAGAACACTGATCCAACTTTGGCTTTGCAAAAAGTGACAATGCTAGGGTTGTGACAGAACAAAGATTTATAAAGAAACAAGATCCTTAAAATGATTACACACAGCAGAGCTATCCCACAAACCTGAACCAATAAACGTAAAACTCTTAGGTGAGTGAAAAATAAACCTCTATATCATTTAAGTTATAATATTTTGGGGTCTACTTGTATATTAATTCCCTAGGGCTGCCATAGTAAAACTAGAAAGTTGGTGGCTTAAAACAACTGAATTTTATTTTCTCATGGATCTGGAGTCCAGAAGTTCAAAATCAAGGTATCAGCAGGGTTCCATTCCTCTGAAGGTCCTAGGAGAGAATCCTTTCTTGCCTCTTCCAGCTTTTGGTGGCTCCAGGTGTTCCTTAGTTTGTGGCTGCATAGCTACAGTCTCTGTCTCTGTCTTCACATGGCCTTTTCCTCTATCTTCTTATCATCTATTAAGAGGATACTTGTTACTGGGTTACATACAGTCCTAGATTTAATTACATCTACAAAGATTTTTTTTTTCTTCCAAATAAGGTCACACTTAAAGGTCTTGGTGAAAAGGATACGGACATAACTCTGGTGTGTCACCAATCATCCACTACAACCTGCTGTAGTTTTTAGTCTTATCCTAATAGATTTCCTTAGAATTCTCAGGCTGTCTCATTGCTATAAATGACATATAGGTGCTGACAACCTGCAATGTTTCTCTTTAGCATAGGCACTCTCAATGGTGTAGCAGAACAAAGATCAAACTTTTGATCTACATCCTAAAACTTGTACACACAAAAAAATGCTCAGCCTCACTAGACATTCAAGAAATGCAAATTAAATCTACACTGAGATACCATCTAACTCCAGTCAGGATGGCTATCATCAATAACTAAAAAAAAAACAGATGCTGGAGAGAATGCAGCACAAAGGGAACACTTCTACACTGTTGATAAACTAGTACAGCCTCTGTTGATAAACTAGTACAGCCTCTGTGGAAAACTGTGGCGATTCCTAAAAGATCTAAAAATTGACCTTTCATACAACCCTGCAACCCACCTACTGGGAATACCCGGACGAACTCAAATCACTCTATAAAAAAGATATCTGCACACGCATGTTTATGGCAGCATTGTTCACAGTAGCAAGAACATGGAACCAGTTGTGCTGCCTGTCAAAAGAGGACTGAATTAAAAAAAAAAAGTGGTACATATACCCAATGGACTATTACACAGACATAAAGAAGAACAAAATCATGAACTTTGCAGCAACCTGGATGGACTTAGCATCTATAATACTGAGTGATCTTTCACAGAAACTGAGTATCACATGTTCTCACTCATAAGTGGACCTTGAACAATTATCGCAATACTATAAAAGAATGATTGGCAGTAGTGGGAAACTGCTGGGAGGGTGGTGGGGAAGTGTGACTGGCAGTAGTGGAAATCTGCCTGGGGAAGGGGGGGTATACCTCATTAACCAGGGTACCTGCATTATGAACATTTGTATACCTAACTCTAAATTGTACCCCACATCTTTAAAATAAATAAATAAATAAATAAATGTAAGTCAGATTATGTCACTTCTCTGTTTCAAATCTGCCATTGCCTTCCTGACTTACTAAGAATAATAACCAAGGTTCCTACAATGCTCTCCAAGACCTTTCATAGTCTTTCCCCTCATCAGTTTTTCTGGCTTTATCTGCTATTCTCCATCTTATCACACTGGCCTATTGCTGCTCTTTGAATATACCAGGCCTTAAATCTTTATGTTTGCTGTTTTCTCAGCTTATGCTCTTTGCCCAAAATCTTCAAATTTCACTATTTTTCCTTCCATTCTTTGCTCAAATATTTCCCTTTTACTAAGGCCTTTCCTAACCATTCTATTTAAAATTGCAGCTCTCTTGGCACTAGCTATTCCAGTCCAAGTTTTGCATTTTTCTATAGATCTTATCTTTAACTGGAATGCAATATATTTCATTGACACATACATTGCACACTTCCCTGACTAGAATGTAAACTCCTTGAGAACAGAACATTTTAACTGTTTTGTTCACTGAAGCTTTTCTAGTGTCTAGAACAGATAAGGAGCTCAATGAATATATGCTGACTGAATAAACACAATGCTTGACAGGAATCAGAAATAGGAACTTTCATACATTTTTGGTAGGAATGAAAATTAGTTTATCTTTGATGGACAGCAAGTACTTAGATAACTTTCATGTTCTAACACATTTCTTCTGATTCTATATTTGTCTATTTAGCATCCATTCACCAAGGAGCTAATTTTATTAACTATGTGTTCTTGTTTTCTATATTCTTGATGCTGTGTCATTTGGGGGCCTTACAGAAACAGGGAGACTGCCCTTTCCAGGGCTAGCTAATTCTTTAAGATAATCACAGCATTCCTATGAACACACCTTTCATAGGCAAACCAACCAATTCCAAGTCTGTATTCCTCTCATATCGTGATATAATAAGAGATATACATATATAGTCATATATGTATTGGTCTTCATCTATGCCATGGTTCCTGCCACACAGATCCTAGAACCTGTAGTTTCTTAAGTGATTTGACTGACAGGAGTAGCTTCTGTTAAAATATTTGGTCTTAAGCCGGGCTCAGTGGCTCAGCCTGTAATCCCGTGCCTTTGGGAGGCTGAGGTGAGTGGATTGCCTGAGCCTGTGGGTTCGAGACCTGCCTGGGCAGCAAGACCTCATCTCTACAATAAATCAGAAAAATCAGCCGGTCGTGGTAGTGCATGCCTGTAATTCCAGCTACTTGGAAGGCTGAGGTGGAAGGATCGCCTGAGCCCAGCAGGTCAAGGCTGCGGTGGCTGGGAGCGGCCACTGCACTCCAGTCTGGGCAACAGAGTGAGACTCCAACTCAAAAAAAAAAAAAAAAAATTTGGTCTTTTGCCTTCTTTTATGAAGTGGGCTTTTTATGAGCATGCCACTGCACTCTGGCCTGGGTGATGGAGTGAGACACCAACTCCAAAAAAAGAAAAAAAAGAAGTGGGCCTTTAGGAGGTGACAAAGTTATAAGAGAAGAGCCCACATACATGGGATTAGTGCCTTAACAAAGGAATGAGGGAGTGAGTCTAGCCTTTCAGTTCCTTCTGACATGTGAGGATAGAATATTCTTCTCCTCTCTAAAGGATGTAGAAACAGTTTGCCATCTTGGAAGCAGAGAGCAGACCCACTGGACACTAATCCTGCTGGCACCATGATTTTGGATGTCTGAGCCTCCAGAACCATGAGAAATAAATGTCTATTGCTTATAAATTAGGTATTTTGTTATAACAGTACTAAGTGACTAAGATACTTCAGTTCCTGAAACAGTTTATTAGCGAGAACAAACCCCTTTCAGCCACAACTTAGCGAGGTGATTTTAGGAAACCTAAACTAAACATGTGATTATTGGATTAGAATTTTCAGTCCTTCCCAGTGACCTCTGGGGAGGGAAAATGGGATAAAGGTTGACTTAATCACCAATGGCTAATGATTTCATTAATCATGCTTGTGTAATGAAGACTACATAAAAACACAAAGGACTGGGTTCATAGAGCTTCTAGGTTGCTGAACACATCCACATGCCAGGAAGGTTGTGTACCTTGACATCACAGGGACAGATGCTCCTGAGCTTGGGACCTTTTTGGACCTTATCCTATGTATCTCTTCAACTGGCTATTCATCTATATCTTTTAAAATATCCCTTGTAATAATTTGACAGTTGTAAATAACTCAGTTTCCCTGAGTTCAGTGAGTCATTCTAGCAAATGATCAAACCCAAGAAGGGAATCAGGGAAACTCTCAATTTATAGCTGGTTGGTTAGAAGTACCAGAGGCCCAGATCTGCAATTGGCAACTGAATTTGGAGGCAGTCTTGTGGGACTGAGCCCTTAACCTGTGTGATCTGACACTAACTCCGGGTAAATAGTGCAGTGCCAGAATTCATTTGAATTACAAGACATTCAGCTGGTTTCAGGTAATTGGTTGGTGTGAGAAAAAACCCACACATCTGGTCATAGAAGTGTTGAGTGTTGCGAGTGTAGTAGGAGAAGAAAAGTGTTTATTTTACTTATACAACCTCCAACTATCTTCTTATCTGACTTTCATACCAAGCTGTACTTCCCTTCCCCTACATCTACCCAGGGTCAAGTACCAGGCAACTAGAGACTATCTATTTAATGTAAAGCTTTCCAGAATTATCCAAACTAGCCCATTTTAAGCTGTTTACTCTACCATGCCTTACCTTTCCTGTGGAAACCCTAATAAAGGCTTTGGCTCAGGTTTTCTCCTTGCTCTTGTCTTTAGCTTCCTGATCATCTCGATGTTTCCCAATGGCCCTATGTAGTGTGAATTGTCACCTTCTCTCAGAACACGTATATAATAAATTCTTCTTTCAATAGATTGATCTCTCTGTTGTCACTGAGTCACCTCCATAAATTAAAATCCTGTGGGTACAAATGAAACACTCTAAATAAGCACTTCTTTTTAGAGGAATCAATTACAAAGGTATACACGGACATCTGTGCAAAGCTAATTATATAAGAATAATCATTCCAGAATTGCATAAACCTGCAAAAATCCTAAATATTCACTAATATAGTACTGGTTAAATAGAAGAAACAGAAAATTTATTCTACCACAGAATACTACACCACCATTAGAAAGAATAAAGATTATATATTGATATGGAATTTCCTCTAAGAAATAATATTGAGTAAAAACCAATGTGCTCAACAATTTGTAGTATGCTAACATTTGTAAAAATATAGGTGAGGGGCTATATATACAGATATGCTGGTATAGTTATAAAATGATTCAAAGTAGTTTAAAAAAGAAACTTGTCACAGTAGACGCATGGGGCAAGAGAAATAGTGAAAGGGGGACTTCTTTTTCACTATAATTGTGTTTAAATTTTTAAAATCAATGCGATGATTCATTTAAAAACAAATATAAAATTAAAAAGTTGGCAGAAAGGGGAGCTAGATGGAAAGCAGCAGCAATCTTTAAGCTAGATACTTTGGAAGGTGGTAGAGGTTGCTGAAATATGATGGAGGGAAGTATATGACAATGGGAAATACTGATGTAAAATATAACCCTGAAGCTTTTAACAATAGCAAGATAGAAAATGGAACGTAATAAAAATAAACCCCAGTGAAAAACAATAAGTGTTCCGAAAGACTTTAGATCTGTGAAGGACTGACCTGAATATGGAGGCTATGAAATGAAAAGGGGAATATGGTTTCTTTAGGATCTGCTTAAAGAAAAAAGGTTGCTGATAGAGTAAAAATCATGACCAAAAGATATACATCAACCAAAACTTAAGAAGAGCAGAGCCTATAAGGAAATCCTGAAAAACATTTCAGTGTTGTCAACCCTCTCACTGAACATCTGTGCTCTCTGTCCAGTTCTCACTCACTTGCTTGGACAGATCTTCTTTTACATTTATACTACCCACCACCCATGGCTTCTCTTCTCATTCCAATTGGAAGATTTCATCCAGCTGGTGATGTGATAGCCTATATGTGGGAAATTGACACAAAATTTAAATTTTCATTCAAGCACCGTCTCAAAACTGAGACTGAGCCTGGATCTTTAAGAATGTTACCATATATACTAATGGAACAAACTAAATAGTCTTTCATATACAATCAAATAGTAAAGGATTTCAGGCTGAAGCCTGAATCTCAAAGCTGATTCTACTATACCACGAAAAGTTTCTAAGTATTTCAAAAATGGAAAAGAGACAGCACTTTACTTTCAAAATGTGGATTATACAGATACATGATCCATACCTAATGTGGCTGTGTTGCTCTAGTTCTCTAGCATCACTTTCCTGTACTGAACATCTTTTAATTGTAGCTGATGCTCCTGGTTGAATCAAACAAGCTCATCTCTGTATGTTTACTCCACCAGTATCTCCAAAAGAACAGAGAAGAGAAAATGCCTGTGGAAGGGCTTGGACATAACCCAAAACAGGCACCTCCCATAACAAAAATATGCCCTGTTTAAGAAGTCAAACTGATTTTGCATTCTAGTCCAGAAGAGAAGTCTGAATGTTAAATGTTTATATAAAAATGATACAAATTATTTATTATATCAATTATGTAGCTTATCCTCTCTTAAAATTGATGCTCCTGGAAGACACACTCTGATTGATTATCACAATTTAAACAGGAAATGAGACAAAGGCTTCAGATTCCTTCATAGTCACAATATCAGCTACCCATGCAGTGACCCACATTCAGGTGATCACACACACTCATACACATACACAGTCTTGCTCCTCCAACCCTCACACACTCAATATGCGCCCCCACCCCCCGCAAGCTACAATGTCTGCACCCCGCCTCTCTCACGCATACCAGTCTTAGCCCCCACTCAATTTCTTTCATTTAACTACTCCACCGCTCCAAACCCATTCGCACACGCATTCTCCCCACGGTCTGGCAACACACTCGGGCCTTCTTTTCTCACTCTCACATACATGATTGGGCTGATGGATTTCTCTTCTTCAGACTCCCCATGCTGGTTGGGTCCAGAAAGCGAGGGGCTGACAAAAACTACAACCTGGTCAGCCCGCTTCGGTCCCAGACGCTCAGGCAGGTTTGTTCAGGTTTCTTCTCCCGGCTCCCCGAAACGCTCCCCAGCTGCTTGCCTCAAGAGCGTCTGCACACTTCCAGCGTCAAGTGGAATTCAGAGCCGTCCCCTGGGTGCAGACAGTCTGGCCCCTGCAGCCAGTTTCCCACCTCCGAGGACGCAGCTTGCTTTGGCTGAGCCCATCTCGTCTTCTGGGAGGTTTTTAGACTACATTTCCCAGGAAGCCCTGCGGCCCAGTATGTCGCCTGGCGAGTGGCCAAAGCCTTGGAGCCGCGCTCGGAGGCTCCGCTGTGTCAAAGGAAAATTGCACCAGACAAGTTCAACGGGCACGGAAGTCTTCGTTCAACACTTCGAATACAACAGCAACGGGAGATTTATAACCAACGGGCAGGGGGAAGGAGTTAGTGGATGGTAAATTACTGAGAGGAACTGAAGTATCAAAGGTGGGGGAATTCTTGCAAAACTGGCTTGGCAGGTTTCTCGCTGAAGTGGGGTTCACTGGCCAGGAGAAGGCCTAGCCAAACCAAAAGGGGACTCAGGGGCGCCTGACTAAAGTTTGGTTTAGGGAGTCCTTGTCAGCGGAGACTCTCGGAAGTCTCCGGTGGGCGGCGGATCTGCTCGAGGAACCCGTTTCAGGGTGGGCGCCACGGGAATCGGGGTGACCCGGTCGCAGCTTTCGTCGACCGTCGCTGGACTACATCTCCCAGAGGCCTCTAGGCCTAGGGCTCTTTCCCGCGAGAACTAGATTGCTTCCCGAGAAGTGGGCGGGATCTTCCCGCGGGGTTTGGGCGCCCGGCCGCAGGGCTTTGTGAGAGCGAGCCGAGTTCGGACTTGTTCGGACTTGACCGAGTGGAGCTGATTCTACCGCGGCGGCCGCCGGTGAGGCGGCTTCGAGCCCAGGGCGACCGAGGTGTGTGGGTTGTATGGGGAGCAGGCTGAGGGGTGTGTGTGTGTCTGATTGATTGGGTCTCTGTGATGGGCGTGTGTCTGTGCGGCCGTGTTCGGAACTGTGAGGGCGGGGAGGAGGACTTTTTTGGGGGGTTACGGTGGTGCATGTGCGATTGCACTTTGTGTGACCCGGTAGGCACTATGTTTGCGAGTGTAAGGTTTCCTGGCCGCGGTGTGTCCCTTTGGGATGTGTGTGTTTATTACCACTTGCCAAACTGTGTGTAGGGTGCTTTAACTGTGATATTTGCATCTGTTTCCCAGTGCGTGTGTTTGTGATATTGTTGGTGTAGGGCGCGTGTGAATTTGTTGTCACTGTGACCCCAAAGTGTATGGCACTGGGAGTGAATGAGAGGTGCCTGTGGACTCTGCGGTTGTGACTGTGTCTGTCCCAGGGCGATGTGTGTGTGATTGTGTGACCGTGTGCTGCCTATTGTGTTTAGGTTTGTGGGGGCTGTGACTTTTGTGTTTTCGTGGTGTGTTACTGTGTGTCTCCATAGCCACTGCTGGTATGGGGCGTCTTTGTGACTCTAGCCACTGGAAACCTCTGTGAGCACAGAGACAGATTCTGCTCAGAACTGCCGTGACCCTGCATTTGTCTGTGATGCTGGGGTTGGGCTGGATGCCCTGGACTTCTCTGACCTTCCTCTCCACGTGGAGGGCGGTAGGGGCTGAGCCAGGGTGACTTCTGAAATTATCAAACGGCCTCCCAGTAGAGCCTGATGTTTCCTGGCTCTTTCTCCCTCTACAGGTCTGTAGTTCTGTAGTGCTTGGATAAAGGCCTCCAGAGAAGAAGAGTACAGACTGGCTGTTAAACATCCACGAGGTACCGGCAAGGTAGCTTGTTGTTTCACCTCCAGTCCCTTTTTTCTTTCTTAGGACATGACTTGCTTTCCTTCTCGGAAATTATTGTCCATTAGATGGCCTGATCCCTGGAGTTTTCCCTTTGAGAAAATGTAGTGGCTCCAAAACCCACCCCTGTCCCCACACGTTTGAGAACTTTCCCTTGCTAATTTGTCAGATGGTTTTAATTTTTCTTTAGACTGTCTTTTTAAAAAATACCTCTCCTTCTAATTTTATAAAAGTAAAGCATGATTGTTTAACTAATTTCAAAAGTATAGAAATTCCTAATGAGGATAATTTAAATTCTGAGTTTAACCAGTGCTAATTTTTTGATATTTCCTTCCCCGTATGTTTTATGTGCATATATAAAATATGATTTTAAAAAATGAATTCATGCAGCATTTACTATTTTATATTCTACATTTTAAATTATATTAATATAAATTAAATATTTTCCCACATATTTTATTTTGAAAATATTTTTAGAGATACATATTATTTATTTGACTGCCTATGGCTTATATTTTTCAAATTAGATTCGGAAGTGGCACTAAACATCCATTTGTGTAGTTTAACAAATAATTATACTGATTTAAACAGATCAAGAAATAGAATACAGCCACCACTGAATAAGCCTCTGATGTACTTATCCATAATCACCAATATTATTGTGCTCCTATGGTGTTAATCACTATGATTCTTTCTTTGTCTTTCACCTAAAACTTTAATACCCATTTCTGAATCCCAAAACCATATAGGTTTAGGTTTTGTCTGTTTCCCCCCCACCCCGACTTTGTAAGAATAGACATTCTTTTGTGTCTTTTTTCACATTAAAGCTACGGTTTACTATAAAAAGTCGCTGTATATATGCTATCCCATTATATGAACACACTATAACTTACTTATTCTATTCTATGCTACTCTTCTTGACATTTGGCATGCTTCTAATTTTTTGACTATTACAGGTAGTACGACTGTGAACATTTAGTGCTCATATTTTAGTGCAATGTGCTTGCATTTTTTTGATATATGTATATCTGGTGATTAAATTACTAATGAACAGGGTTTGTACATTTTCAATTTTACCAGGCATTGCCAAACTGTTCTCTAAAGATATTGTGCATGTTTTTACTTGTATGAGCAGTTTACAAGGGGTCTTTTTAGCTCTATATCCATGCCAGCCCTTGGCATCATCATGCTTTTTAACTTTTGCTAATTTTGTGGATGTCTAGCATTATCATATTTAATTTGTATTTCCTTTATCGTTAATGAAGTTGAGCACCAATTCTTGATCACTTGAGTGTTTTCTTGTAAGATGCTTGTTCAAATATTTTCTCTCTGATTTACAGCAGTTCAATATGTGTTTATATCTTCTGTATATTAATCTTTTATCAGTTATATATACAGTGACAAATATTTTCTCTTGCTCTTGCTCAGTTTTTCACTCTTTATGGTGCCTTTTGAAGAATAGAGATTCTGGATTTCAGTATAATGAAGTCTTTTACTCTAGTTAGTGCTGGTTTAAGAAATTTTTGTCTGCTTTGAGATAATGAAGATTTTCTTCTGTGTTTTCTTCTAAAAGCTTTCGAGATTCTGGCTTAACATTTAGGTCTTTATACTATCTGGGATTGATTGATAACATTTAGGTCTTTATACTACCTGGGGTTAGTATTCAATGTCATTTTTCCCCCACAGGTGGGTATCCAGTTGTTCTAGTGTCCTTTACTGAAAAGTGCAAGATGGATAATCTTTATGTTCTTAATATATGCATATATTAGGTTTAATTTTTTAAAAAGTGCAGGCTGGGTGTGGTGACTCACACCTGTAATCCCAGCACTTTGGGAGGCAGAGACAGGAGGATTGCCTGACTCAGGGGTTTGAGACCAGCCTGAGCAACATGGTGAGACCTAGTCTCTACAACAAGTAAAAAATTAGTGGGGTGTGGTAGCACATGCCTGTGGCTCCAGCTACTTGGAAGGCTGAGGTGGTAGGATCACCTGAGCCCAGCAGGTCGAGGCTGTTATGGCCATGAGTGTGCCACTGCACTCCACCCTGGACAAGGGAGTGAGACTCCGACTCAAAAAAAAAAAAAGAAGAACAAAAGTGCATCTTTTCCACACTGTATGCAGTACCATTTTAGTAAAAAATCAAGTGACTATATATGTGTATGTTTCTTTCTGAATTCTGTTCCTTTAGTCTATTTGTCTTTTCTTGTAGTAACATACTGCCTAATTCACTGTAACTTTATATTTGGAGCAAGTCCTTTCACCTTTTTGTTCCTCAGGAGTGTCTTGGTTGTTTGTGTTGCTTTGCATTACCATATACATTTTTTAATTAGCTTGGTTCCACCCAAACTTCTCTTGGGGTTTTAATTGAATTGCATTATATCTATAATTACATGGGTAGAAATTTGAGAACTCTTCTAATAATATGAACCTCTCAATTAAAAAGGTATTAATGTTTCTCAATAAAGTCTTGCTGATGCTCTGTGAATAGTTCTAGACAACTAGGAATCATAATCCATTAGACAGTGTATTCTTTTTGCGGTGATTGTCAGGAATCTAAGCACTTCAGATAATGATCAGTCATAGTGATAATTTTAACCTGGGTGTTTGATATTGGGTACCTATGACTTCTTTTTAGAAAATAAAAGGAACTTTATTAGAAAGACTAAAATGATTGTATGCTAATTTGAACGACTAGATTGTTCAAGAAGGGATTTGAAAATTCCCTTTCTGATGTCTTCTAAAGCTTGAATTTTATTTTTATGCACCTTGTTCTTTCCGTAGACCTCTAACTTCAGTGTGGAGTTGAGGGAAACAGGGCTAACAGTTTTTCTCAGATCATTCTTGGGCTTCAGACAAGTTGTTGGACCTTTGAGCTAACAAGCAGGTTTCTGGTAATAGTACCTAAGGAAAGGCAGCAATATGGGTAAAAGGATTTTTATACATGCTATCCTTCCACTCCTGCCTTCTCCACTTCTTTATGTATTATTTTTAACATAACAAATTTTTTAGCCTCTTAAAATACATTTTTGGGAGTGGGGGATATGAAAATTATATATAGATTTAGATATAAATGGTAGATATTTATTGTCTGACATTTTTATTTTAATAAAATCTGGTGTAATTAAGTCTGTATGGTATCTTTACTCTTCTCCTCTATTACATATTATTTTTAACTACC